ATTTACAAAACTTTCCTTGTATCTCCTTCCTATACACTGTTAGAGGTAAAGACGTATAGACCTTTTCATGTAGGTCCCCATTCAAGAAAGCATTCTTTRCATCAAACTGATGAAGAGGCCAATCAAAACTAGTAGCTAAAGATATCAAAACTCGAATCGAAGTCATCTTGGCTACTGGGGCAAAAGTTTCTAGGTAGTCAATACCATACATCTAAGTGTATCCTTTAGCAACCAAATGGGCCTTATATCTCTCAATAGTACCATCTGAATGATTTTTAATAGTGAACACCCACTTACAGCCAACCGGTTCATTTCCCTCAGGAAAACCCATAATTTCTCAGGTATTGTTCTTATGCAAAGCATCTAGTTCAGTCATCATAGCATTCCTCCATTCTAGTTTGGACAAGGCTTCTAGAACAAATCTGGGAGTCACATGTATGGAAACAAAGGCAAGGAAAGAATAATAGGAAGGGGAAAAAAGGCTGTAAGATAGGTGTTTAGAAATGCAATGAGCCATACATCTCCATTTGCCTTTGTGAAGGGCAATATGGAGATTAAGGTCAGGCAAGGTATCCGAAGTGGTAGAAGAGGGCTGACCTATTATCTCAGTAGTGATGAGAGGAACAAGAGGCTCACTTGAAGGCGTGGAAACAACTTGCATGTCTCTAAGTCTTTGTCTCTGGTATCACCTTTGGGTAATAGGATGGGAAGGAAATATGGCAGGGTGAGCAAGAGGAGGAGAGGGAGTAGGAACATGAGAAGAAGAGCTAATAGAGGACTCGATTGGAAGAGACTCAATAGAAGATTCAATGGGAATTAGAAGAGGAACAAATTGTGACAATGCAAATAACTCCTCTGAATGCTCCCCCTTAGGAGAAGTACCAAAGAAAGGAACAAATTCTATAAATGTGACATCTTTGGAAACAAAGCGAATGCCACGAACCAGATCAAAATAGCAACATCTCTTATGTGTGGTGGCATATCCTAAAAAGACACAGTTGTGTGCTTTAGGGTCAAACTTATGCCTTTGATGACTGTGAACATGAACATAACAAGTGCACCCAAACACTTTGAGAGGAAGAGAGGAGATTCTCATTTGGGAAAAGCAAGCTAAAGGGAATTTTAAACGCCAAAACCCTGGAAGGCATTCGATTTATCAAGTATGTAGCTGTAAGGACAACATCCCCCCAAAACTTAAAAGGAACATGGGAAGAAAAAAGGARTCTCCTTGCAATCCCAACCACATGTCTGTTCTTCCTTTCCGTCACTCCATTTTGTTGAGGAGTGTAGGAACAAGAACTCTGATGAATAATTCCAAAGGTATCAAAATATGAGGAAAGGCTCTTTCAAAATATTCCTTTGCATTATTAGATCGGAATATTTTGATGCGTGTTAAACTAGGTAAGTATAAGTTCATGAAATTTTTGTACAATATTTGGTACTTCATCTCGRGATTTCATAAGGTAAATCCTGGTGTAACGAGAGAAATCATCAATGAAAAGAATGAAATATTTGTAACCCCCCATAGCAGGTAAATGATATGGCCCCCACACATCAAAGTGCATAGTATGGAAATGAGAAATAGATCTTTTATTACTCACTGAAAAAGATTGTCTACAATGTTTTGCAAGTTCACATGACTCACAATGAAGACTCAATAGGGATATTCCCTTAAACATTTTTGGAAATAAATGATTCAAAGCTGAAAAAGACAAATGACCAAATCTTAAATGACATATCATGACTCTATCAACTTATTCTAATGAAATAGACTCCAAAGCTACTCCACTAGGTAATCTAGGACTTTGATCAAAGACATCCAACAAATATATCCCATTCATCTCATAGCCACTCCCAATCGTCCTCTGAGATTTTAAGTCCTAAAAAACACAATAAGTAGGAAAGAAGGTTACGCTGCAATTTGATTTTATTAAACTACTAACAGATAAAATGTTAGTGTTAAGTTTAGGAACATGAAGGACAGAGGATAATACAAGTGAGTCAGAGGGTCTAATATCCCCTTTGCCAGAGATGGGAGCAAGAGTCCCATTGGCAAGAGAAATCTTCTCTCTACTTGAGAGGAGCTGGTATAAACAAAAAAGGTTAGGTATGATAGTCATATGGTCTGATGCACCAGAATCTATGATCCAAGGAATTCTATGATTTTCTGAGGTTGTAACATGATTTGTAGAAGCATGAATACTTGAATGGGAAAAAGCGGATGTAAAGGGGGTGCCTGAGGAGGAAGCTACAATAGTAGACTCTAAGTAATTTATCAACTTCCCATACATCTCAAACTTTGCCTTCACTACTGCCAGCTATTCCACAACAGATTTTTCCTTTACTTTCAGATACTGTAGAAACATTTGCATTCTTGAGCTTTCTAGACTAACCACCATTCTTGAAGTTGTTGTTGTTCTGAAACCTCTCTGGAAGAAGATCTGAATGAGGTTTCCAACAAGAATCCTTCGTATGTTTCGGCTTCTTGCAATATTCACATATCACCTCCGTTTTTTTTTTTTCATTTATCCCCTTTGGTTTTATTCCAGCATATGCAAAATGTTCTGGGGGTGGTGGAGTCTACAGCTGTACTTGTCGCCTGTTCTCTTCACTACTCACCATAGAGTATGCTTGAGCAATTGACACTTCATCCTTGGCTAGAATATTCTGCCTTATAATATCAAATTCAAGATTGAGTCCTGTAAGGAATTCAAACACTCTGTTTCTTTTCACAAATTTCCTAAAAGTTTCTGCATCTTTGGTGTTTCCCGTACGACTGCTTCCATAACATCTATCTCCTACCATAGTGACTTCAACATTGAATAGTAGACAACCACACTCTTTTTCCCCTGTTTTAAAATTTTCACATCATTTTCTAATTTGTAGGCCTTTGCAACATTTAATTTCTGAGAGTATGTTTCTGTAACATTATCCTAAATCTCATTGGCTGAAGTCATCCAAAGATAGTGTTGACTTATATGGGGCTGCATAGAATTTAACAACCATCCAATAACTACGTAGTTATCCTACATCCATTTCTCATATGCTAGATCAGTCTCTTCCAGCATCACCTTACTACTTGTGAGAAACCCTAGTTTACCTCTACTACAAACATTAATCTTATTAGATTGTGCCCAAGCAAGATAATTTATTCCGTCAAGTTTAATTGTAGTCACTCCTATCAGAATGGAATCTACAAGACCAACCCTCGACACCGAGTTCTACTTCATCTCACTTCTAGATTGCTCCATCAATCAAACAAAAATAAAAAACAATGTTTTCAACCTTTATAGACCTAACTAAGGTCAGTCAAGCACTCAAAAGTCCCAAAACTATGGTTTCACTATACCTGGCCTTCGAGGAGAAAGAAAGAAGATATAGTCACTCAAACCATAGCTATCCAAACCAATTCCAACTACAACCGCCCACTTTTGGAGATAAAAAAGAACCCTCCAAGCCTTGAGCGCCACACCCAAACAGTCTCTTTAACCTGTAATTGGGAACTCTCTAATCGGCTAGGGTTTTGGGAAAAAAATCTGCAGTCCCACTTTCTTGACAATCTTCAGTTAGACTCTAACACTTCAAACCCTCTACCAACTAGGCAAACAAGCTCTTTGAATGATCAACAATTTATCTCTCCATACACCTTTCGATTAGAAAAAAGCGTATGGGAAAACAAGGAAAAGAGAAAAGCGAAGAGAGACCTTATCTGATACCAAGATGTGATTCAAACCAATAAAATTAGTAGAATAATTTAGATTAAAGCAAAAAGTAGAGAAGAAAAGGAAGACAGCAAGAAGGAGGAAGAATGGAGAAGAAAGGAGAAAGAAAGGAAGAGTTCGATAATCTCCTCTTTCTCCCACACTAATCTTTTATTAAACTTACTTAAGTTACATAATTTACAAGACTGCCCTTAAGTAGGCATCCACATCAATAATATACAAAACAAAACAAGAGCTAAAGGCTCATAGAGAAAAAAGGCTCAATAAGAAAACATAACAAGAAAGAACCAATAAGAAAGACACTAATGGGCTAGGGCTCATTCGGCCCAGTCTCTCTACAAAGTTTAAATTGGAAATCCTTCAAAAATATCATAAAACAAATAGTAATTACCATTGCCAAGAATCAAAACCAATTCTTCTAAATGACATACTAGAATACCCACCATCATACTACAACAATATGTTGAAATTATTCAGATTTTAAGTCACCTTGAACAAAAAAGTCCACCAGATATCAGTCTATTTTTTTGATGTTCTTATCTAATAACCTAATCTTGTTATTTCCTCCACTATTCTAGTTTTTCAAGGGCATCTTAGCAGTCAAGACTTCAATTATGAGTTTGCCTTATTTATGCTTATTTCATATCTGAGCCTTTAGATCACATTTGTTACTAATACAATTGTAAGATTTTTACGACTTTCTCTATCATTTCCAAAGCATATCCTGCTACACATCTTAAAATTGCATTAAGATACTCTTTGAGATACCAATACTTTTGAGCTTAGGGCACTCTGCTTTTTCACTCATATTGAAGAAAGTTTGAGCCCTTAAATGAGAGGCGTACCCAGGCAAATGAAGAAAACTAGAAAACTATGGGCTAAACAGTGAAAACTAAACCCCTTCAAGGAATAACCCTGTGCATTCACAAGGGTTTTCATGGAGAATAAATACCCTACCATGTTCAACATTTTTCTTTCATTAGTAACTATTAAATTTTCTTATATCAGAAAAAGAATGAGACAATGTACAAAAGCATCTCTAATATTTTCAACTACTGTTTCTACAAGGCCTTCGAGAAGCAAATGAAAAGCCTTGATTTTTTCAGCAGCAAGGACTGATACCCTTGGGTTTGCAAGGCATAAGCTGTCTAGCACGACTTCAAATTAACAATGCATTTTTCAAGATTCTAAGCCTTTTCAGATTGTGTGGAGTGAAATGAAACCAAGCAAACATTGTGAGGAGAATTCTTTTAAAATGAAGACAAATTGGAGTTCCTCTGCAGAAAATCGAATAATAATTAAAGTTTATAATATAGCCTGGAAGCAACAAAGTCCTCTAGTTCATCATTCCTAACACTAGAGTACTTGCAAAACTTATTCAACAAAAAAATTTGCCTATGCTCAGTGTGCAGCTGCTTGACACAATCGTCTACAGCCTTCAGCCTTAAACCTACGTATTTTCATCGTGCTATTACAGTGTTATCATGCAAATAATGATCGTCATCGGTCTAAAACTTTCACTTTTTCCCTTTTTTGGTGTATGGCACCTTAGCATCGAATTCATGGCTGTTGATGTTTCACAACCATTTTCTCCAACTGGTTGCTCTTTTATCACCAGATAGAAATCTGGGAAGGTTTAGCAAACTGTTCACTCTGGTAACACCTTCAAGGGCAGACCACTCCTCATCATCGGCAGTTGAAATGCACTCAGCTAGGCTCCTTGTAGAATGGCACCTCTGGGGAAGCTTTTCCTCTACTGATTCCAAAACAGGAACAATTTCACCAGAAGGTTGGACGGTGCTGGATTGCTCAAGAACAGGACCATTCAAAGGCTGAGTATTCCCATCTGTTGCTTTGCTGTCATTCATGCCTGAAAGCGTTGGATTTTCTGACTCCTCAGTCATGCTCTCCAAAGTGCTGCCATCTGTCTCTTCACCAGCCTGAGATGTATGGTCCAGAAAGAGACAGACAACAGCGCAATCATCACTCTTAGATGTAGGAAATTTGAGCCTCCATGCTCGAACAGCACAATCTACAACAGCCCGTGCTGCTGTTGTACGACTTGGGGCTGAAGCCACTATGTCTACAACTTCCTTATTTGAGAGAACATCCCAAACCTGCATATAACAGAAAAGGGGAGAAAGATGGCAATGATAATTCATGATGATCCACCCATGAGTTTGAGTATAGCAAAATAAAAATATAGTTTGACAAGGTAGGGGCTGTGCCTACACCATAAGTTGTTCTTAAAAGTTGAAATTAAAACTAAATTAACAAACATGATGCAAAGAGAGAAGGATACCCCATCAGTGGCAAGAATAATGAACTGGTCTCTCTCAGTGAGACGACGATAAGACACATCTGGAACAGAAATCAAACCAAAATCCTTTAGACAGAAGTCTCCAAAAGCTCTAGCCATGGCTAAGCCAGGTGAGTCATTATTAGGCAACCAAACACGTGCAACCTCTGGCTCATCTTGCAAAGCGAAGACCCTTCCTTTGCATTGCTGGATCCTGGCAGCTTCCCCTAAAATGTAACAACCAGGAAGGTAAGCAGCAAGTAAAAGTCTGTTGCAGTGGTTGTAACTTGTAAGGAAGTATCTTTAGGTAAGGAGCATGAAAAACTTTAGTTAGTGAAGAGGTATACAGGGAACATACTTGGGAGATTAGGCTTCAAGTCCACAGTCAACTGTACTGCAACCAAAGAGTTCTCTTTATCTTTTGTCCCCATTACTGCTCTTGAGTCTCCAACATTTCCAATTACAAGATTCTGGCCCTGGTAATTTTCAGGTTGCATGTTATGTAAATGTCTGCCAATTGGTGACAAGATAAAATTAAAATGTAGCATGAGAACATCAGAAAGATCCTCACTTGCTTTACCAAAGTAACAGCAGTAGTTCCACTGCAAAAGCAATCAATTGTTGGATGCATCTTTAATTCCTTATCCATTAGCCTGAAGGTCTTTAAGATAGATTGTTTCAGTGGCTGATACAGATCAGGGAGTTTTTCAGTGTCATCAATATCCAAGGAACAACACCATTCATCATCCATGCTGATGGATCCGGTTTCATCAGAATTTATGCTTTCTGGAGCAATGCCATTCTGGCAATCACTAGAATTAGCATTCCACTGGGTACACAGCTTAAGAGGAAGTGAATCACGAACTTTCTTGGCAACCATATGACCATATGGACCATGACCGTCAAATACCCCACAGAAGATTGTATCATCCCTTGAGCCAAAATTCTAGTGCATTGAATGGATTGATGTCATTTAGTGATGCATATAGAAGAACAGGCACAGGTATAAGATAAGACAGAGCCAAATTACATGTTTTTTATACAACTCTTGCTACTATGACCTAACTGTTTGATGATATTAAACAGTGCCTAAGAAATTTTAATAATTTTAGCAGCATCAATTTGAACTATTTCAATGGAGAAAGTCATCTCAGAAGTAAATCAAAGCAAGACTGACTTGTTATTCTGAAACCAAAAACAAACTTATGTGCTAGACTGATCTCTAAGGACCAGCCTTAGAGCACTGGTTCCTAGGTCAGTGGCTCAGTTTTAAATTTGAAATGGTACAAATTTGAAAAATGTGCGATCCAATGGAAAATACATGGGTCCAATCAGGTGTCCCCAGCTTAGCAATTGTTAGTAAACAATAATTATAATACTTGTGTATCAGGGTTTTGTGCCTTCACTAGACCTGGACTTTCTAAAACTACATTGAGGTGAAAAGAGAAAGATGCATCGAAATATCGGTTCAGTGCAATTGATTCACTAAACTGCTGCAGCTAAACAACACATTAGACATCATATACCCTGTAAAGCTAATGGGGTCTTTGGGAACCAAACACTCGTGAACATGGAGATAACTAGTCAGAACAACAATGGGCTCTTGACAGTGGTTGACATATCTAGAACAGAAGGATCTAATTATGAAAACACACAAACACAAGTCACCATTGTATTTTGTTATTATTAGATGTGCATGATGCTTTTGATATTGATTCACTAACATAACTGACAGAGACACAGAGTTAGCCTGATGAATATCAATCAGTAATTTATCAATCACTGTACATAGAATTCAGTCACTATCCTAGCATGATGCAATGATATAGTCTATAACAGTATGTTCTTTTCAACAAAACTGCTGCTGTGTAATCTAAGAAGAGAAACACAGGTTCGAAGAGAAGGAAGAGATAGAAAAGAAGAGAGGAAGGAAGGAGAAGAGAGAAAGAAAGAAGGGGTCCGGTTGATTGATATCTGCCGCCCCATACACTTCATTATTTATAGCTTTGATTCCTTACAAGAATAGGCAATAAAACATAAAGTTCTAGTCCTAATAAAACATAACAGGATAAACATAATATAGATAAGGCCAGCCGGCCCAACTTAAAAAGAATAAAAAAGATCTAGGTGTGGTCATGAAACCGCCACACCAGAGCCTGAGTGTGGGTATGGAACCCCAACTCGTGGCTTACTAACTATTTCTACACTCCCCCTCAAGTTGGGAGTAGATATTTGTCATGCCCAACTTGCGTAAATCTGTCTCCAATTTGATATTTGTGACTACTTTGGTGAAGAGATCAGCTAACTGCATGTCTGAGGCAATGTAAGGAAGGCATATTTCTTGAGATGCGACTTGCTCTTGGATAAAATGTCTGTCAACCTCGATATGCTTTGTCCTGTCATGCTGTATTGGGTTGTGGGCAATATTAATTGCAGCTTGATTATTGCAATATAACATCAGAGGCTTCTCATAATTAATTTCCAATTCATTAAGCAAGGATCTCAGCCATAACACTTCTGCAACACCATTGGCCATGGATCCGTATTCTACTTCTGAACTGGAGCGAGCAACAACATTCTGTTTCTTGAAGAAGTTAGGCAAAGATAAAGAAGTTTCCCAACCAGCCTCTGGTGCATAGCCCTGTCCTCAAGAAGTTCTCCATTTTCTGCACTTATTTTATGGTTAAGCTCAATAAGTGTGTCAGTAGGTTTCACTCCTAACTTTCTAGTTTCTTCCAATAAGTCCAGAACATACTTCCTTTGAGAGATAAAAGTGCCATGCTTAGACCGAGCTACCTCGATTCCTAGGAAATAATGCAATTCCCCTAGGTCTTTCACTTCAAATTCCTTGTGAAGATGCTGTTTAATAGTTTCAATTTCACTAATGTCACTCCCCGTTATCACAATGTCATCTACATAGACTGCAAGTAGAGTCAGGGAATGACCTGTCTTCTTAAAGAAGAGAGTGTGATCTGACTGAGCCTGTATGTATCCGAATTTGTCCAAAGCCAGTCTAAACCTATCAAACCAAGCTCTCGGAGATTGTTTCAGCCCATACAAGGCCTTCTTCAAAAGGCAGACTTTCTTTCCTGCTTCTGTACTATAAAAACCAGGGGGTAACTCTATGTATACTTCCTCTTGCAAGTCTCCATTGAGGAAGGCATTCTTAACATCCAGCTGAAATAGTGGCCATGAGAAGTTCGCAACAATGGATCGTATAACTGTGATAGTGTTCATTTTTGCAATAGGTGCAAAAGTTTCTGTATAGTCTATGCCATAAGTTTGTGTGAATCCCTTTGCAACCAATCTGGCCTTATACCTCTCTACAGTACCATCAACATTATATTTCACAGTAAACACCCATCGGCATCCAATAGGTTTCTTTCCTTCAAGGTGATTAACTAGTTACCATGTGTTGTTCTTAACAAGAGCATCCATCTCTACTTGCATTGCTTCCTTCCATTCAGGTATCAAAAGGGATTTTTGAACTTTTTTTAGTATAGGAATAACAACAATAGATGCTAAGTAAGATCTATAGGATTCTGAGAGACAATTATAGGAAAGGAACTTGGAGATGCAATATGGGTAGTGGATGAGGTGCAATGACGCTTTCCTTTACAAATTGCAATGGGAAGATCAAGGTCATCTGATGGTGAGGGCTGAACATCTGTAATAGTGGGATCAACTGTGGAAGCAGTAGTAGTGTCTGGACCTGGGGCTGTAGAAGATGTTGGAATTGACCTAGATTGTTGTTGAGCACGAGAATCAACCTGCCTCCACCACTTTCTATGATACACTCTCAATTCTCTGCATTTTTGACAACCCTCACCCTCTTCACATCTCTCCCCTTCAGTAACTGGGACAGGTAAAGGAACTTTTGGGGCTGAAACTGAAATCCCTTCCTCACTACTCTCCCCCTAAGGAGAAGCCCTATAATAGTAGGGCATATCCTCAAAAAATGTGACATCCATGGATACAAAACGCTTCCCTAAAACAGGCTCTTAACAACAATATTCCTTTTGATTTTGTGCATACCCAAGGAAAATACATTTAGTAGCTTTGGGATCAAACTCTGAGCAATGAAGTCCAAGGATTTGAACAAAACAAGTACACCCAAAAGTTTTGAGGGGAATAGTGAATAGGTCCTTATTTGGATACAGAAGACTAAACGGGGTTTGCATGTTTATAACCCGTGAAGGAACCCTATTAATAAGGTACACGACTGTACGGATTGCATCCCCCAGAAGCGTATGGGAACATTAGAGTTGAGCATGATGCTTTTGGCTACCTCTAAGATATGTTTATTTTTTCTCTTAGCAACCCCATTTTGCTGAGGTGTACGAGGACAGGTGCTCTGATGAATGACCCCAAGATCAAGAAGATAGGATGCCAAGGATTTTGCAAAGTATTCCTTGGCATTATTAGATCTAAGAATTTTGATCTTGGTTTCAAATTGGGTTAGAACCATCTGATGGAAAGCCTGGGTCAGAGAAGGGACTTCATCCTGAGAGTGCATAAGGTAGACCCATGAAAAACAGGTATAATCATCAACAAATAATAAGAAATATCTATACGCTCCCATGGTGGGGGTATGATATAGCCCCCAAACATTGGTATACACAATTTCAAAAGGAAGGTTGCTTCTTTTATTACTCAAAGGATAAGAAGATCTACTATGTTTTGCAAGCTCACAACTTTCACACTTTAAACTAGACACTTCTACTAACTCAAATAAGTTTGGAAAAAGACTCTTCAAAGAACCAAAAGATAAATGATCTAAGCAGTTGTGCCAAAGCATAATCTTACTACAAGAYTGAGAGACAAACAAATTCCCCACTTTACTTTGCTCCCCATGTGAATGTTCAAGCAGGTAGACTCCATTCATCTCATGGCCAATCCCAATCACCTTCTTTGTTTCCAGATCCTGAAAAACACACCGATCAGGGAAAAAGGTTACTAAACAGTTTTGACTTTTAGTAATACTACCATCTGAAAGTAAGTTAGCATTAAGCTTGGGAACATGCAAAACTGAGGATAGGGTGATGGCATCAGACAATCTGATATCTCCCTCTCCCAGAGGATAAACAATAGGTGCTAAATAAAGTAGATAAGCCGGTAATATGGTCTGAAGCACCTGAATCAATTACCCAAAAAGGTCTAGTATTACTTGGGACAGAAGCATGACATGCAGTAGCTCTTGTACCTGTATGAGCAAGGGCTGAAGTAGGCTGAGTAGGTGTAGTAGCCGAAGACTGAGATGTAGATCCAGAAATACCAGCTTCTTTCTCTAGCTGTGTCAGTGTAACCCGAACAGCTGCTAAGGCATCCAAGGATGTAGTCCTTGTGATGGAAGAGGATGTATTGTTAGTAGTAGTTGCTGTATTAGCACTTCCCTTCTTGTTTCTAAGTCTAGCTGGCATTAGGTGAGGATGAAACTTCCAACAAGTGTCCCTGGTGTGTTTGGGCTTCTTGCAATGATCATAAAAAACTTCTCTTCTGTCTTCCTTCTTAACTTCCCTTTCCTTTTCCCCTCCAGCCTTGAATTTTGTTGCTGACAAGGCTGTTTCTGTGGGTTGAAAAGATAGCATTACCTTCCTCCTACTTTCTCTTCACTATGGACTAATGAGTAGGCYTGAGATAGTCACACTCTCCCTAGTGAGAAGTTGTTGTCTTGTAATATCAAAATCTGAGTTTAGACCGGCTAAGAACTCAAAAACCCTATTTGTTTCAATCAGTTTTCTATGTTGCTGCATCCTTCTAGCTTCCCCATTCAATAGTTTCCAAGTGATCAATTTCATGCCAAAGGGATTTTAGAGTAGCAAAGTATACTAAGATTGGCTTCTCTCCCTGCTTGAGGTTTTTCACCTCATATTCAGCTCATAAGTTCTAGCAACATTGAGGGGTTGGGAATAGGTTTCCTTCATGCTGTCCTAAATCTTGGCTGTT